TGAATTACTGCAGTCACGAAAGCTTTAAATAAAAAATCTTAAAGTGACTATGTGTGACTGTGCAAACAGAAAATCCATGAAGAAAAAAAACATCAAAATATTCCTGAAAAAAGCACCGTACACCACCAACGCTGTGTGCAAAAATCCCAGTGGGATGCAAGTCAAACAACAACAACCACAAGACAACGTCGAACGCAAAACGTTTGATCGGTGGGCATCGATTATGACGGGCGATTAAGTTATCGCGATAGGCGTGAGTCGGTCGGTTCGGGTGGATTCGGACGATCGCCAAAGTCGGTAACTAATTCGATGATCGATGCTTTGGTTTCGATTTTAAAACACGCGTGATCGATTGGCAACGAGAACGGATCAGTTGGTATCTGTGAAGATGTGATCTATCAACTGATATCGATTACCGGAGTTGATCCGAACATTTGTCCTGGCGATTGTGACGTGATTCGATTATTTTGCTGGGTTTTTTTTAGATTATTTTAAGTGTGCACATTTGTGCCTTATGGAGGGACCCCGGGGTCCCGAATAAACGGAAGTCAAAATTTGTAATTAACTAATCTATTTTTGCCGGATTCCGTCCCACCGCGCACATAAACGCCGCGACCCACCTGGCACGGATCGTTCTGTTGCCGTGTCGTCCAGGATGAATGCGCAGAAGAAACCACACTTTGAATCTTTGATGAGCGCATCGTGTGGAGCTCGTCGAGAGGAATAGACTGCCGTGTCGTTCGCCTTCAGCAGATATAAAATGACGTCGCAACGAAGTTTATGCGAGAGCCGGGGGCCTATGGAACCCCGGGGTCCCGCCATAAGGATAATTGATTAAAAAAAAGTTGTATAGTACTTTACATGGTTAACAGAGATGGAACGTTCTATAAAGAGAACAGAACAAACGACACAGAACACCACTCCTTCCACGTTTGGACAATAAATGAATATAAACGAATTACAACTGATTACTCCATGAGAAATAAATCAGTTATGAAAGATCAATTTTTATGGACTCATTGATAAAAGCATAGACGAGTAGAGGCCATCGATCATCGAATAATTTTCGGATTGACATAGTACGGTGTATCACTCGAAACGTTAACTCAATTCCGGAACCAGTCATGGGCATCTGTGGCGGAAAAAATATCTTCACATAGCTCATCCGATTGTGAGATGTTGAGTGTTCAGTCGGGGCCTTGTGAGACGTTGAGTGTTCAGTCAAAGCCTTGTGAGATGTTGAGTGTTCAGTCGGGGCCTTGTGAGATGTTGAGTGTTCAGTCAAAGCCTTGTGAGATGTTGAGTGTTCAGTCGATGCCTTGTGAGATGTTGAGTGTTCAGTCAAAGCCTTGTGAGATGTTGAGTGTTCAGTCAAAGCCTTGTGAGACGTTGAGTGTTCAGTCAAAGCCTTGTGAGATGTTGAGTGTTCAGTCAAAGCCTTGTGAGACGTTGAGTGTTCAGTCGGGGCCTTGTGAGATGTTGAGTGTTCAGTCAAAGCCTTGTGAGATGTTGAGTGTTCAGTCGGGGCCTTGTGAGATGTTGAGTGTTCAAGTCAAAGCCTTGTGAGATGTTGAGTGTTCAGTCAAAGCCTTGTGAGATGTTGAGTGTTCAGTCGGGGCCTTGTGAGACGTTGAGTGTTCAGTCGGACCCTTGTGAGATGTTGAGTGTTCAGTCAAAGCCTTGTGAGACGTTGAGTGTTCAGTCAAAGCCTTGTGAGATGTTGAGTGTTCAGTCAAAGCCTTGTGAGACGTTGAGTGTTCAGTCGGGGCCTTGTGAGATGTTGAGTGTTCAGTCAAAGCCTTGTGAGATGTTGAGTGTTCAGTCGGGGCCTTGTGAGATGTTGAGTGTTCAGTCGGGGCCTTGTGAGATGTTGAGTGTTCAGTCAAAGCCTTGTGAGACGTTGAGTGTTCAGTCGGGGCCTTGTGAGATGTTGAGTGTTCAGTCGGGGCCTTGTGAGATGTTGAGTGTTCAGTCAAAGCCTTGTGAGATGTTGAGTGTTCAGTCGGGGCCTTGTGAGACGTTGAGTGGTCAGTCGGGGCCTTGTGAGATGTTGAGTGTTCAGTCAAAGCCTTGTGAGATGTTGAGTGTTCAGTCGATGCCTTGTGAGATGTTGAGTGTTCAGTCGGGGCCTTGTGAGATGTTGAGTGTTCAGTCAGAGCCTTGTGAGATGTTGAGTGTTCAGTCAAAGCCTTGTGAGATGTTGAGTGTTCAGTCAAAGCTTTGTGAGATGTTGAGTGTTCAGTCGGGGCCTTGTGAGATGCTGAGTGTTCAGTCGGGGCCTTGTGAGACGTTGAGTGTTCAGTCAAAGCCTTGTTAGATGTTGAGTGTTCAGTCAAAGCCTTGTGAGACGTTGAGTGTTCAGTCAAAGCCTTGTGAGATGTTGAGTGTTCAGTCGGGGCCTTGTGAGACGTTGAGTGTTCAGTCAAAGCCTTGTGAGACGTTGAGTGTTCAGTCGGACCCTTGTGAGATGTTGAGTGTTCAGTCAAAGCCTTGTGAGACGTTGAGTGTTCAGTCAAAGCCTTGTTAGATGTTGAGTGTTCAGTCAAAGCCTTGTGAGACGTTGAGTGTTCAGTCAAAGCCTTGTGAGATGTTGAGTGTTCAGTCGGGGCCTTGTGAGACGTTGAGTGTTCAGTCAAAGCCTTGTGAGACGTTGAGTGTTCAGTCAAAGCCTTGTGAGATGTTGAGTGTTCAGTCGGGGCCTTGTGAGACGTTGAGTGTTCAGTCGGGGCCTTGTGAGATGTTTAGTGTTCAGTCGGGGCCTTGTGAGATGTTGAGTGTTCAGTCGGGGCCTTGTGAGACGTTGAGTGTTCAGTCGGGGCCTTGTGAGACGTTGAGTGTTCAGTCAAAGCCTTGTGAGACGTTGAGTATTCAGTCAAAGCCTTGTGAGATGTTGAGTGTTCAGTCAAAGCCTTGTGAGACGTTGAGTGTTCAGTCGGGGCCTTGTGAGACGTTGAGTGTTCAGTCAAAGCCTTGTGAGATGTTGAGTGTTCAGTCAAAGCCTTGTGAGACGTTGAGTGTTCAGTCGGGGCCTTGTGAGACGTTGAGTGTTCAGTCGGGGCCTTGTGAGATGTTGAGTGTTCAGTCAAAGCCTTGTGAGACGTTGAGTGTTCAGTCAAAGCCTTGTGAGATGTTGAGTGTTCAGTCAAAGCCTTGTGAGACGTTGAGTGTTCAGTCAAAGCCTTGTGAGATGTTGAGTGTTCAGTCGGGGCCTTGTGAGACGTTGAGTGTTCAGTCGGGGCCTTGTGAGATGTTGAGTGTTCAGACGGGGCCTTGTGAGATGTTGAGTGTTCAGTCGGGGCCTTGTGAGACGTTGAGTGTTCAGTCGGGGCCTTGTGAGATGTTGAGTGTTCAGTCGGGGCCTTGTGAGACGTTGAGTGTTCAGACGGGGCCTTGTGAGATGTTGAGTGTTCAGACGGGGCCTTGTGAGATGTTGAGTGTTCAGTCGGGGCCTTGTGAGACGTTGAGTGTTCAGTCAAAGCCTTGTGAGACGTTGAGTGTTCAGTCAAAGCCTTGTGAGATGTTGAGTGTTCAGTCGGGGCCTTGTGAGACGTTGAGTGTTCAGTCAAAGCCTTGTGAGATGTTGAGTGTTCAGTCGGGGCCTTGTGAGACGTTGAGTGTTCAGTCAAAGCCTTGTGAGACGTTGAGTGCTCGACCAGATGACGCTTTTTGGCGTCATCTGGTCGAGCACCAATTGTGCGAAGGCTCAAAAGAAAGCCTTCCCTTGGTGTGGACCAATCAGTTTCAAGGACAATGCATATATTATCATAGTATGTTTTGTGTTTGCATTTTGACTGCAAGTATTGTGGTTAAAGCAGACATTAATCCTTGTAAAAAGGTTTCAGTTTTGTCGCCAGAAAAAAGGGGAAAAACCCTATTATTACATTTTGGTACTGGCAAAGGAGGTCTAATGATGTAAGAGCTTTATAGCTCATCGGATTCCTCCTGCAGTATAAATAAATATATATATATTTTTTCTGAATATGTATACCGTATAGTTAATGTGCTGTATATACACTCCGGCGAAATCACTGCACAATAGTTAGGCTTCATATTCACCTTGCGCTCTGAAGTAATTAATCCAGCAGTTGATTGACCAAACGTTAATGTGATTTCTCGCTCAAAGGAGCGTTGGAACGTTGCTCACCTGTATAATAGCCCTGAGGCAGTGGTGGAAATTCCGCATTACTCTGGCTGGGGCGAGTCGATCCGTCGGCTGACCACTGTTAACTTCCCCATGAAGTGGCACCAATTTTATAGACCCCCCAGAGTGAGGAATGATGAGCCGAATCAACCTTGAAATAAGAGTTTGAAATCGCAACTCGCTCCCTCTACTGCTGAGCCACTGGGCCGATTTGGAATTGTAAGTGTTTTAAATTCATTATACTCTAATAAAAAAAAAACATATACAGATGTTGTTCCCTAATTGAGACATATAAAGGGTGCTTAAATTTTTGTTTAACACTTCTGAGAAATTGCAACAAAGCCACAAGAAATTTGCCTCCGGACTTCCAGGCCACGTGTTGACAATGATGGCGAACAAGTGGGGACTTTTAAGCTATTAACATTACATTTGTTATCATGTTACAGTGTATTATCCGTTCTTTTCCCATTAAAAACGATAGTCCTATATGAGTGTTCAAAACAAGTTGAAGCAGCCTGTATATGAAGGAGACAAGCAAACAAGGCATCATGGGACTTGATTGGCAATTAATTTGGTGCAACAATACAATACAATGACAAAGGGCTTGCGCTGATTGATAAATCCCTGCTCAGGAAGAATGATTCCAATCGGCACGCGTCCTTCACCTGGTACAACAATGCCTCTCTCATTTAAATAATGTAACATCTTAATCTAACACGCGAGCTGCCGCGACTCTCCAGATCCGCACCTGGGTATGTCAATCAGAATTAATTATGTGTTCGTTCACCTTTACCTGCATCACCCCCCCCCCCCCTCCCCGTGGCGACGTCATCGGTACCATTTCTATAAATCGGACGAAGATCGCTGGATGTTGGCGCACAGTGATTTTGGTCACTGAGTTTAGTTTTGTGGGTTTTTGCTGTGGTGTGGGGGTTTATTTTTGGTGTTGTCTGTCGTCGTGGTCGTTAGTGATTTCGGTCCGCGGGGAGAATGATTTGTCAAGTAAGTTCGTAAAATATCATCGGGGCGCGGAGTTTGCGTCTGCCGTACTCGTACGGTCGTGGGTCTTTGTTGTTTTCGATGATCACTTTTCGGTTTTGTTGTCCGAAAGCGTTTCTTCCCTGGAGATTTATCTGGGGATCGAGAGCAACACGTGTGCGGATACGCGTCTCGAATGGGGGAAACGCCGCCAGTGTTCCTGTAACACCAGGCTAACACTGCGGCTAGACTCGCGTTTCAATGCGCAAATATTAATTTTAATTTCTTTGTTTTAGAAAAAAAATTGCCCATAATACCATGGAAAGAAAGTCTGCTCGAATTGTAATGTGCTAATTGGTCACAGCTAACATGAGTGTCGAGTGATATCTGAGACCGTTGGGACACGATGCACTTCTGCTGAACTGGTGGTTTGCTGTTGGGATACAAGGCTGATTTGAGAGATGTTTGTGGTTTTGAATTGGTCATAGGCCCACTCCACTACCGACTTTCTCATTTAACCAGCCGTGATTCGTGTTCCAAAAACCTCTTGAGATTACCGTAATAGCACTCATCCAGCAGTAGATCGACGAAGGGTCTATACATTTTCATTTGTACTGGAGTTATATTGAGCGTGAAAAATGTAGTTTGGAGCGCTACAAATGGGCGGAGCGCTTCGCATTTATTAAACATGACTACATCAAATATCGCCTTGGATTTACTTTATAACAAATACAAGTCGCTAAACTTCGATTTTAATGACAAGGAAAACCTTAAACTCCATGTGTGCTTCGAGAAGGAACGCTGTTATACGGTGTGGGACTCCCCGCTATGATGCTGCTAAGGAACATAGCCATGAACAACTTATGGAATGGAACGCATCCTTACGTCTATCGTGGAGATAGAGCAATGACATGAGCTCGTTGGAAGGTTTCTTTGTGGATTGTTCCACAATATTCACGGTGTGCACTGGCAAACCGTGCGAGATGACGGCATGGGAAGGCCTTCATCCAACAGTGGAGCGATGAGTAAACATCCGTTCATGAAGGGGTTATTGTATGGTGCATAACGAGGTGTGGTCTCTGCGAGGTTTTGCACGTCGTGTTGTGGTCACGGGTAGCGCACTGCGAACCCGGCAAACCCGAGTTCGATTTGCCGCTCTGCCAACACCAGGTGGCCATTCTCTGAACCGGTTCAGGTCCACCACGAGGTCGACTCTGCCTCCAAATGAGTCGGCTGGTGCGCTGGCTACTCGCGTGCCGGCCTTCATAGGCGTTCGCTCACAGCGCTTGTCCCAACAGTTGAGGCTATACAGGGGCGGGCGGTGGGGGGGTGGCTATGTTTGTATGTTCACGAGTGATTTTCTTCGTTTTTAGATTGCCCTGATGGCTCCTGCGTTCCTGTCGGTGTTGGTTGCGGTGCTGCTGGTATCTGAAGTTGGGGCACAGGAAGGTAGGAAGACCGCAAGTGTGTGGCAATCTTTCTAGAGCCTCCCTCCTTGGAGCAACGGGTTGGCACCCTGCGGCTTTTTAAGGACTGCTGCTTCGTGACCGCTTTATTCAGGACCACAGTCTCGTTTTCATCGCGTGCATTCTGAACAAAAATATCTTTTGGTTGGCAACCCCCCTGCTCTGTAGTCTACTCGTACAAATAAAAATATTACCATATTCTCGTGCTTATAAATACACCTTTTCCTCCCAATGTGTTTACAGACAAATGTCTGGAGTGCATCTTGTCATATAGGTGTGACCCGCATTTTCTAAGTTTATTTACAAGGGGGGCACGTTTTCGGCGGTGGTTTTTACTTTCTGCAGCGTCTTTATACGTACTTTTTTTAATCTAGACAGCCATTAGGCAATCCACTCGTATAAAGGCATCTCTGCTGTCGATGATACCCTTTTGGTTGATTCATTAGAAAAAAATAACGCACTTTTTTTCGTATAGACCGCGGCTTGCAGTTCCAGTGTCGTTCCAATAAATTTGGAAACACTTATTTCAAACAAACCGGATAGGAAAAGAAATCTGAGGAAGCTGGAGTGACCCCCCCCCCCCCCCCCCCCCCCCCCCCCGTACTCGTCCCTGGCAGCGGAGCCAGGCGCGAGCACTCTGGTCACTCCCGCAGATTTCTAAATTTAGAAATCCACAACGCAAGCGTAACTGGGCTCGGTTCGTGCGCCCCGCGTGTTTGGAATTCTAACACTCCCTCGATTGTTTCGAACTTTTCAAATGTTATTTAAAGTTTAAGAGGAAGCCGACCCGATGCTCTGCAATGGGGAGAATTAGACGGTTGTCAATTTAAATAATTTCACAATCTCGTATTCCTATTAAATAAAAGCTTGTTTTATATTCTACGGCATTTTAGTAAGTTGGTGGCGAAAGAATTACATTTAACAGGTGAGAATTGTTTTACGTTGGCGCAATTTTAAATAAATAGTGTTGGTCTTTGGCATTCATTCGGTGGCTCTAATAGATTCTCTTCCGAACCTCTGCTATTGCAACTGGCATGGGAAAATCCCGCTTGGCCAGTTACTCCCATTGCGTCAAGGCACTCTATAATGCAAGTTGTAGTGGTGTGTGTAAAATACGAGACGTTTTAATAATACCCTTCTTAGGATCGGGCAGTTTGGCCCTCACCCCCCTGGCATAAGACTGCACGCGGGTTGCGTGGTTGTAATGCTTGAGGCTTCACGGGCTGGGGGAGCGGTAGTGTAGCGGTTGGGGCGTTGCACAATTGAACTCGTCAAACCGGAGTTCGATTCCCGCTCATAGCCAACACCCATTACGATAATCCGGCTCGGTCCTGGGCCTCCCCTAGGTTGACTCGACCTGAATGCGGTGTGAATATCGCCACCGGGGAAACGAAGGCGGCCGGGCATGATGCGGGCCACCCACCTCCCTCGTGTGCTGTGGCGCTCTTCATAGGCCTACTCTCTAACGGGCACGTGCCCCAACAAGTTGTCCTGGCTGTGCAGGGGATCTTTTGTTTTGTGGTCTTGTTGTGCAAGAGAGACCACCGTCGTCTTTCCCACTGCAGGCAACAGCGAGGTGGCCCTACTGTGCAACCCGTCCTGCAAAAACGGAGGCCTCTGCAAGCAGGAGAATAACGGCTCTTATGCCTGCCAGTGTCCCGACGGGTTCATGGACAAGGACTGTTCAAGTGAGTGCCGCCAACCTCGCAGTCCGTGTGGTGGCGACACTGCGAATTGTATCTTGAGATGCAAGGTCAACGCTAAAAATGGAGTTGCTCGTTGGTGATCATTGCTCGAACGTTTCCGGATTATTACGTTTCCCGAGTTATCATCATGCCACCGTGACGCCCTGCGCAAAAACCTGAGCGTAGTAACCCGTGCGTGTGGTGGTAAGTGTTGTTGCTGGCCATCCGAGGTCTAACTACTACGTGTGTGGTGTCCCGAGTTGGTAGCGGTAGTGTGGCTGTTAGCGCGCTGCACTACCAACACCGCCACCCGAGTTTGCTTCCTGCTTGCGGCCAACACCAGTGACGATTATTTGACTCGGTCCCGGGCCTCCACGAGGTCGACTCGGCCTCATGAGAGTACCTGGTGCGATGTGTGAACATCGCCACTGGGGAGACAGGCGGCCGGGCGTGGTGTTGGCCACCCACCCCCTCGCGTGTCGTGCCGGTCTTCATAGGTGCGCGCGCTTCCATTTTTTGCCCCAACAGTCAAGGCTGTATGGGGGGGCATCTCTGCCTATATTGTTCCCCCCCCCCCCCGCCTCCATCTCTCACCGTTGCAGATAGCTTCCTGGACGTGGTCTGTGGTGCGACCAAGGTGAACGCGATGCTCCGGCAGGAGTTCCTGGAGCAGCACAACGTCCCGGCCACGTCCGTGGTGCTGGGTGGCTTGACCGACGAGGGCCAGAACAGCTCTTGTGTGGGGACCCTCCGTGAGGTCCAATCGTCGGCCAGGGGCTATTACAGCATGTCGGAGACGCACGGCCGCCGCAACTGTGGAGCTGAAACGGAGGTGGGTGTCGGCCTCCCCTAGGTCGACTCTGCCTCAAATTTACCACCGAGTGGTGTGTGTGGTCAAATATCAGCACCTAAATGAGATGAAGGTGGTGTGGTGCTGGGCACCCACCACGTTACGTACTGTGCCGGCCACTTAACCCAACGGTCTAAAGGCTATATGGGGATCCTTGTCTGTCTTTATCTCATCGTGACCAAGGTGCTTTACAGAATTCACAAATGGTACGAGTGAAATAAAAATGGCCAATGGGTGTACACGTGGTGCATAAATTAAGTAAAAGTTAAATTGACAATGTTATCGCTGGCACTGACTCGTGTGTGTGTGTGTGTTGCTTGTCTTCCGCAGTCCAACGCCACCCATCTGATCCTCCACTACCAGGTCGTGGTGGGAAATCGGACGGCGGTCATCGAGAGGACCTACTTCGTGATCAAGTTTTCGTGCGTGTATCCGCGCGAGGAGCGCACCCAAGCGGACATCCCGATGGAGAGCCGGCTCTTGTGAGTTGTGGATCTTTCCCCCCCGTGTACGGTCGTCGTGCCAGCCTATTGGAACGGTGTTTGGTTCGATGCCTGAGAATCGAGAACCAAAGGAAGTCTCTGGATGACGCTGCTGCCACGGTATAGCAGCTCACTTGACTTGCAGTCAGAGGTCACTGGAGCATACAGAGTTTTAAAATCTAGATTTAAAATTAATTTCATTAAAAGATGTAATTTGTTTAGTTTGTCCATAAGGTTTTTGGATTCTATCGCGTAAATATAATTGTCGTTAAACCCGACAGCCAATGAGAAAGGTTTGTCACGTAAACCGAACATGCCAATTCGTTGCTAGTACAGCCCACCGGTATGTTGGACAGCAAATCCACAACATTTACAATTTGAGGACGATGTTTTGCTGGCAATTACATCCAGCATCGGTTGATTTTAACATTGTTCGCTTGGCCTACGTGTTAAACTAGTTTCATCCTTCGTCTGCACCGCCGATTTATCACGGCTAGCTATGTATGGTGCGAAAAGTTCACTCGTGTGCTTACATGAGCAGAAAGGAGAGGGAGAAGGTATGACTGGGTCAAGATGTTCGGGCATGCGAGAGGGGATGGAAGAGCGTGTGGAGAGGGAATGAACAAGCAGAATGAAGTTGCATGGACTGGCACACCTACTTACCGTGGGGGGGGGAGGGAAGATTTCGAGAGGGTTGGGGGGGGGGGCACACAGGTCCGTGAATTATTTCACCTTTAACCAGAAAAAACCCATTTTTACAGGAAGCTTGAGCTGATTTGGATGACTGGGTTATTCCCCCATTCTCCCACTACTGCACATGAAACAATATCCACTTGCCTGCTCCCATTCTCCACTTTTATAACCCATTCTCTTCTCCCCTAGCCCCTCCTGCTACTCCTTGACCATCACCATAACACAAACCCCACACCATCTCAACCACCGTCATTTGTACACTGTTTTTTATAATTGCTGTAATATGCCTTGGCATAAAGGAGCTAAATAAATAGTCTCTAAAATTAAACAGACCTTTTTAAACGGTGTAGTGACTTAACTGGAGACGCTAGGCCTTTGGAATAACTTTTTTTTATCTCAATAGCACGACGGGGATCCCACTCCAAACGACAGCCCCGAGCTCTCGCTCAGGGCCCCCTTTTATGCTCCCAGCGTTGCCTTGCCCTCTCTAGAACCTCCTAGCGGGTTCCCGGGCTTCCCCTGCGTGCCTCTTCTCGAACCTTTCCCCGGATAATCCCCTCTGGTGTATCACGTGGCCTGCTGCAGTCAGGGCTGCTGCAAGCTGTAGATCCCCTTCCCCGCCAGCAGCCAATGCTATGCTGCTACATGGCTAATTCTATGTCGCTACAAAGGTTTGGAACGCTTTTGCCGCTCGCTTTCCCGTCCGCCCCAGGACGTTCGCCATCCCGGAGATGCAGGGCGTGCTCCAGGTCCTCATGGCGCTCTACAAGTCCGACAGCTTCACGGCGGACCAGCAGCTGGTGGGCTCGCCCGTGCTGACTGCGTTCCAGCGCGTCTACGTGCGCGTCCACCTCGCCATGTCTCGCGACCACAACCCCGTCAACGTCAGCGGCTACTTCGGCCTCCTCGCGGTCAACTGCTGGTCGACTCCGAGCAACAACGAGTCGGACCACCTCAGTCACAAGATTATAAACGATGGGTGAGGGGGGGGGGGGCTGTCTTGGCCTCTGGTGGCGGTTGGGTGCCTTTTTGTCGTTATTAAACTAAAACAAGAGTTTTATTTTACCAGGTAATGCCCCTACTGAGTTCTAGTAGAGCATTGTTTTTTCACAAGCCACCTGGCCACAAATAATAGCTCGCCGAAGTGGCCTATGTTGGACACTTCTAGCAGCCTAATATCACGAGCAGAAGGCCGTGTCGCCAAATCCATTGTGTGTCTCGTATGGCTGTGCTCGCTGCCTTCACCCCCTGCGCTAAACCAGCAGACTCAAGTATGGCCTAAAATCGGTGTGAGAAGGGCCCTCATCCAGCAGTGGAGATTGCTGAAAGGGGTCCCCACCGTGTGCCATTTCACCCCCCCCCCTCCGTACGAACGAATCGCCGTGCGTGCAGGTGTCTCGCGGACCAAACGGCCTACTTCCACCGAGGCAACGGGAATGACACCTCCGTGGATTTCAGCTTCCAAATGTTCAAGTTCATCGGCATGGAGTACTCGTACATCTACATGCATTGTGCCGTGCGCGTCTGCTACACCAGCAACCGCATGGCGTGCGTCCCGGTAAGCCGGGCTCCATCTCGAATTAATTTATTCGGGCACCTGAGCATTCGTGCAACCGTTCTGTTAAATCCACCGCTGCTAGGTGAGTGCCCACGCCATGCAGATCTGCTAGCAAGACAAAGATCTCCTGCATAGCCTTGACAGAATGTTGGGCAAAGTGCTCTTAGACAACCTATATGAAGGCCGTCGCGGCACACGAGGGGAGTGGGTGGTCAGCACCACCCCCGGCCACCTTTGTCTCCCCAGTGGCGATGTTTACACTGCACACAGGTACTCATTTGAGGCAGTTGACCTAGGGGAGGCCTAGGACCCGTTAACATAATCTTCATTGGATGGTCTACAGCTCTATGGATGTGTTATTGTTGTGATCAAAGGAGGAGCGATATTTGTCTTAAACGGCGCAGGGATGTCAAGGTGGCAGGGTCAAGCGACACTCGAAGACTGACCTCTACGAGGGCGTGCTGTCCATTGGACCCATGAAAATCGTGGACGACGAGACTGAGGACTTGCTGCGCACCTCCATAAACGGTGACCTCCTGACCCCACCAGTGGACTTCGCAACGCTGTCCGTGTATCCGTGTGCACCGCCAACATTTGCGGCGTCGCGCTCAACGTTAAAGGTGCAGCCCTCCAATTACTTCCTCGTGCCCCTGCTGCTTGGAAGGGCGTCCACACAAGACCTCGAGAGCCCCACCCCCTCAAGGATATCTTGGCCTACTCGCTGGCTAGTGTGAACTTGTTTTGCGCAGTAAGTAGCCAACCGTGCTAATCGGTGTCTCGTAAGGTGGGATTGTACACGCACTTGAACACGGCACACGAGCGATCTCGTGCTTGCACTGTCGGATGGCAAGTCGCATGTGCTAACCCCTTGCAGCATCAACACCACAAGTTGAGTGTCCATTGCGGTCCCGTGTTTTTGACATTGGCCTTACCGCTGACCTCTCCCCCTCCGCATCGCAGCAATGTGCCACCACCCTTGACCAATGGCGACATTGCCCGTGTCTCACATGGCACTGCCACGAATCCCAGCCAATTGGGCCCCATCCTGCCCAGCGGGCCACGGTGCAGTTTGCAGTGCCCGCTCACTCGATAGCTATGCCACGGAGTTATTAACAGATGTGTTTATCAATTCTGTAAAACAAAAATGTTCTAGAGTTAAGTCCAAGAAGGGTAAGAACATAATTGGACCAACTGTACTTTGAGAGGTTGTCTGAAACTGGGAGAGCTCACAAAATCATTGAGTGGAGAATAACTCTCCCACCTCGCTGCCATCTGCGAGTCACAAGGTTATGGACAGAGTGAATATCAGCAGTGTTTTGGACTGGGTAGAGCGACGATTCCAGGCCATTGAGCTACTCTATCTGGCAAATCGCTAGATATTAATTACCAGCGAAACGTCGTATTACAATTGTAAATGTTGTGGATTTTACAGTCCAACATATACCGGTGGGCTGAAGTAGTAACTAATTGGCGCGTTTACGTGACAAACCTTACTGACTGTCGGATGGTGGAGGGTTATGACACTCATACTTGCACAATCCAACCCAAAAACCTTTATTAGTAATAATATTGGTCGCTAAAGCCCCTCTACGTGCTTTAAACTCGTTCTACTCATCCGTCGTTCAGAGTTGCGTAATCGCTGAATAATTTTGTAATCGTGCGCGCGTGGTTGCAGGTCTTCCCATGCCCGTCGTGATCCCGGTGTTCATCATCACCGCTATCGGCGGCGCGCTCGCGGCCCTGTGCTGCTTCACCCTTTCCCGGCACGGCTGGAGGCTCGGGTGGAGCGCGGACAAGGAGATTGCAGGGGGGGTGATGCCGCCGGCACCCTGCCACGAGGTCCCCAGCAGCAGCCCCGTCATCGGCGTCTCGCCGAATCAGCGCTGCTCCACCGCAGGACTGCTGCCCGATATATTCAAAGGCGGTCGCCGCACGTGTGTGATTTCGTGATCTGATGCACGCAGTTTTTCCACCCGAGATGCGCTTTTGTTGAAGTTGTGCTGGAGCTACATGATGCGTTTTTTTGGTTGTACTGTGGCGATTGGCACGATGTTCGTGGCGCTCCCACGTGCTTGGGTGGGAGGGGGGGTAAACAAACTCTCAGCGCGTCCTGACGGTTCGCACCACACGCGCGCTTGGGAGCCTTTTTTTTTCTTTCAACAACCGAATTCGGAGAGGCCCCAGCGCAGGGCACGTGGACCGTGACGCCACAGGGCCTGTGCAGAGCGCTGCTCGCGTTTCACAACCTGAGAAAATATCGCAGTTATTATGCACAGTTCAAATTTTTGAAAAGATTCCTTGTGTAACTTTTGTACCTTTTTTTAATATCTACGCAGTCGCATTATTTAACCAAATTATGCAATGCGTGTACAGTGGTAACATTTATCTTGATATTTAACTTGTTATCTGGGTACACTAACGTGGGGGGAGGGGGGTGCCAGCCTGTCCTGTGCGTACTCCTGCTGGGTGGGGATGCCTATAGAGTGATTGATTGATATATAATGGGGCAATGACTTTAGACAAAGCCAGATTTCGTAGAGTCTGAAAAATACTTGGGTGGGGGGAGGTTGTACCTTTGATACCGAGACGCTCCAAATCATAGGCGCTCCTTATGAGTGCAACTCGGGTCGAGCTATCGACGCATTACCACGTGTTTTTTGAAAGCCGGTTCCCTCCATCCCCCACCACTTTGAGCTATTGTTTAAACGGGAGGAGTCTCTCGTGGGGGTGGGTGGAGGGTGGGGGAATGTACAAAAATGCCGAGCGCTTGACCCTCGAATGCTTCTGTAAGTCCGTTTTCACCCCCCCAAAAAAAATAAAACGGCACCGCAATGACGACGCTGTGGTTGTGTGGTTGTCGGCGCTCGCTGGCGTTGTGCAAACTCGCGCGTTCGCCCCGTGTATACAAACAAACGCGCGCGCACCTACGCCTGCACAATGAATATCTTACATTGGTAGCGTGCGCAAATGAAACCTTCAAAGATGTTGAGACGTGGGAAAGGTTTCTAGGTTATCCTGGCTCCGTGCCGATGTGCTGCGAGGTGGAGGCGGTGGGTTCTAGGGGAGCTGCGACCGGTTGCTTCGTCTGGTTTTCACGTCTTTAATGGCGAAGAGTCCACCTTGGATGAAACTTCTGCACATGTAGCGAACCGCGCTAATCGGAAGTGCCTTGAGGCAAGATTGGTTAAGACGTTTAAATCCCAACGACAAAATGATCATAACCCAGCATGGGAGTGCGTGCTGGATAGAAGTCGTATTAAACGATTTGCATCCAAGTGCAAACAATACAGGGGTTTTGTTTCCCTAAAGGGTAGTAGATGCGTTCCAAAAAAAGTGCACAAGGATATTGCGTTGGACTGCAGTTTCCCAACATGCAATGCTCAACCGCTGTGTGGTGTGCCACATCCGACTATGGGCCCCCTTAATATATTGAAACTGCATTTTGGGTAATAATCGCTCGAGGGGGGGGGGGCGAACCTCTGGTCTTGGGAACCCCATTTTGAATGTTCTAATTCGATCTTTCATTCAGAACTCTTGCAGCGAATTGCCTCAACCCTGGTGTAGGAGAATGGACCCAAAACATGTTGCATACTTTTTAAGCCACTACAAGATAAACTTATCCGCACTCCACCTTTCTGTAGAAATCCCAAATCTGGGAGTTTGCTCGCTCTGTCTTTGTCAACCTTCCTCTTGGTTGTGGCTTTTTTTTGTAGGTGAATAAAACGAACGAAATAAACTACATGTGCATCTGTTGCGTATCTGTCCCTTGCGCGTGACAATGAGTTTATGTGTTCTTGTAAGTCACGTGGCCTGCGAGTGCATAATGTGTTCGACAGCGCTGCACAAATGAAACGTTGCGCCGATTGTTACGTTCATCGTCTTCTCAGCGGTCGGGCTTTTGTTTGAACTAGCAATGGTGAATTTTCCAAATGTGTATAGACATGAGACTTGGCTTTACACACATTTGTATTCTTAAGAACAATTGGCGTCGGTGGCGAATGTAAGTAACAACCTAAAGATATTAGATTTGTCAAATATTCCGTTCTCGACGACGTGCCTTACCTAAACCAGATTGCGGTGCAAATGAGCGGCATTTACCAAACGTAGCACGTGCCAGATTTATTTCAGCATAAGCCACATCTTAAAACTAAACCGCTCGCAACGTTGCCCCGATATCGTCATTGAGGAAGCTAAGCAGGGGTTGATCCTGGATAGTGCTCTGACGTGATGCCGCTTCACTAAGACGCGTGGTCCAAAGGGCTGCGGGTCTGCACGAAGAGCAGCAAAGGGCAGTGCAGCAAAACTAACTGAACTCGACATCTGTCAACAACCCCTTAGCGGTGCCTACATTACAGACCTGTCAACTACTATACACCACTACTATACACTACTACATCTGTAAACCCCTTAGCATTGCCCTACCTTATTAAATACAAATTCAGATTTAAAGCTTTTGTGACTGCTAGGATCCATACTCTTTGGTTCTATTGGGTAAAGTCACGTAGGTATAAAATAACAAAAATCACGACGTTTCGGCCACAACACAAGCGGCCTTCATCAGGTGAAGGGACGAGACTGTCTGGAGGACAGCGCTGGAGTGAAAAAACGTCGTGATTTTTGTTATTTTATTTTTTACCTACGTGACTTTACCCAATAGAACCAAAGAGTATGGATCCTGGCAGTCACGAAAGCTTTAAATCTAGAATTGATAACCTCTATGGAGAGGGCTTTCACCTATCTGTTAGAGCTTTTAACAGACAACGGGACAAGAAGTCACAGCTCATCGAGACGCTGACCTTCCTCAAAAGATGCGCTTTGTTTCTTCTCACACAGCTTAAAGGTCGTGATCTGAGCGTGGCTTTTTTTCACTCCAGCGCTGTCCTCCAGACAGTCTCGTCCCTTCACCTGATGAAGGCCACTTGTGTTGTGGCCGAAACGTCGTGATTTTTGTTATTTTATTTTTTACCTACGTGACTTTACCCAATAGAACCAAAGAGTACAAATTCAGACATTGCCCACCCCGTGTCCTTATATGTATCTCAACGTTTATCCGTTACTATACACTACACTATACACTACTATACACGACCCTATACACCACTATTACATACCTGTCAACCTCTTATCAGTGACGACCATATTACAGATCAATTCAGGCCGTATTGGTCAGCGTGCCCTTATAAATCTCAATGTTCATCCTACAAAGGCCCCAACACAAGGGAGAACACACAACGGCCGTACGCCGTATGGACCTGAACGTTTCGATTTCCCTGTATGGGTTGACGGGTATGTCCACGTGTCTCCTCCACGCCTGCTATCCGCGTTCACCACCACCGTGGTGATTCGTGGTCCAAGTCACCTCCACGACCACTGCGCGGCTGCGGCGGTTTAGCGCCACGAACCCGGCGACCCGAGTTCGATCCCCGCTCACGGCCAACATCGGTGACGATTATCTGAACGTCAGCCGGCGCGATGTGTAAACATCGGCATTCGGGGACAAAGGCGGCCGGGCGTGGTGTTGCTGTTCACCCACGCCCTCGTGTGCCACAATGTCTCTGCCTTCGATTGGTGCTCGCTCACAGCGCTTGCCCCGACAGTCTGTTAATGCTAGAGGGGAGGAATCCTTGTCTCCGTGCGTGTGCAGTCCGTAAACGACGCGCTGTGTGCACATTTGGCGAGCAGAATTCCGGTGCAGGTGAGCAAATGCATCGTGAGAGCACCATTTTTCACGGACGCCACTCGGATTTGGAAGACACATGCATCGTTACACGCGGCCCGTGCCAGCCGCTGGAGGTCGCTTACAAGTATGTACCGTGTGTGTTGAACTTCTTTCGCGCCGTACGTAGTCCACCGTCCTAATCGGTATACGCCACGCACGCGCACACAAACCATGCCGGCAGCAGATGCGGATGGCACCTACCTCATGCACAAATGGACAATGAATGAATGAAACTCTCCGGCCAGCCAGAGACTGCGGCTAATCACCCAGAACAGAACCATCGGAGGCGCGTGACGACTCAATGCCCCCATTCAAAAAAAACAAGTACGAATGAATTTTTTATTTAAAGCTTTCGTGACTGCAGTAAATCATATTCTTAGCTCTTTCGGTAAAGTCACGTCGAAGGGAAACAATAAAATAATAAAATATATATAAAACAATAAAAATTCTCACTACGTTTCGACCATAACACAAATGACGACCGTTTGTGTTATGGTCGAAACGTCGTGAGAATTTTATATATATATAAAACAATACAAATTCTCACGACGTTTCGACCATAACACAAATGACGACCGTTTGTGTTATGGTCGAAACGTCGTGAGAATTTTTATTGTTATATATATTATTATTTTATTGTTTCCCTTCAACGTGACTTTACTGAAAGAGCTAAGAATATGAAGTACGAATGAGTCGGCATCGTCACGGCGATGAGAACCACGGCGCTCCTCACGCAATCGTCCGGCTCATCATCAACCACCCCAAGGGGAAATCATGATTGTTATCATTATGGCTCTCCCACCTGATGACGGAGGCTTGTGTTGCTTCCGAAACGTCGTAATTTGATTAACTTTATTTTAATGTTTTACCTACGTGACTTTACCGAAAGAACCAGAGAGTATGGGTCATTGCAGTCACGAAAACTTCAAATGTAGAAGAAATCATTATTGTTGTCGAGCGACAGGGTGGTCCAAATGTCTTGTGACCCCCCCTCCCCCACCCACCCAAATTGTTTTCTCTAAACCTTTGTATGTTTTAAGTGAGATTCATTTAAAACATAAATGAACGTACAAAGGGGAAAAGATGTTAGGGGCCAATTAATTGAAGAGGGGGGGGTCACAAGACATCTGGACCACCACGCTTAAATCATTACTTTCAAGTGGCTTCCTGCCTAGCTGCTAATGTATAAAGGGTTAGACGAGGTATAAATAGTATCTAACTGTAAGCGAACACTTTTTGTGCATTGTTTACACTCCGTTTTTTTAATGGATGCTGTTTTTTATTCCTCAGTATAATGCCATCATGTTTGAGGCTGTATCTGCATTATCATTACAATGGCAGAACTAGTGTTTTTTTAAAGAAATACAGCGTGGTATTTGATGGCAATCTATATTGAACTTAATTTTTGTTTATTAAAAAAAGAACATTTTCACACTGCGATTATGATTTGCTCGTCATTTTTTATATTAAACTTATCTGTTATTGGTTATTATTGATGTATATTACTATGACTTATTACGTTTTTCGAAGAAACGGCGTTGTTGTTTTTGTTGATGGAACCCGATTTAAGAGCTTTTTAATAGTTTTAGATTTTAATTATTTTATTGTTTCCCTTCTACGTGACTTTACCGAAAGAACCAAGAATAACAATAATAATTTGATTCGAAAACGAGCATGGGCCGTCAGATGGATTTCGGCATCTCAAGATCGCTGAGAGATCGACATGGTGCTGTCGGTCATACGGGGATTGTTTGACCATACTTCACCGCGTTGGTCAGTGCCGAGTTTGATGAGGGTGGCAACGCAGACACCGATTGATGATATCACTCAGGCAAACTGATGTTAGCCGTGGGCCGGAACATTTCACTTTTCGGGGCTCCAACATTTCACTCACAGCGCGATGCGTGAATCGTCGCTCCCACAACTCCAGGGCAATTCCCCAAGCCGTGGTGGAGTCATCGCCGCCTGGACTTGCACGTGCGGCTCGACTGATGTGCGAATGAGCAAGCGAGTGGGTGGGTGATCGCGCATGCTTCGCAAATGGTGTGGCGCGCGTGCTGTCGCTTTGACGATAATTAGTGAAGATTTGGGAGGAGGTCGAGACAGAAACCGTGGTAATTAAGCAAATTGGATGGGGGGGGGGGGGTAATTAAACAATTTACTCGACTGATTCCCCCCCACCACCACCAATCACGCCACCACCATTGTCTCGGGATGGTATAAATGGTCGAGGTGCTGTGTGGTTGTCGTGTTGCAGCTTGCTCTGTAGTCTAGTTTTTGTTTTGTCTTTTTCGCGAGTGGGACCGGCTCGTGATGTAAGTATCGGCGCTCAGCGGGTTTTTTGTCGCTTTGTTTCCCGAACGTGTTTGCGAGATCGTTGATCGTGCGGGCTTCTTGTAGCGGTGGGTGAAGTACTGGATCGAGAAACGCATTTGGGGTTTGTTTGTTTTCGCTTTGGAGAGTGTAAGCGCGCTCGTGAGACCTTGCCTGGGACGTCTTTTCTTAAATGCCGGTTCTGTCGTGTGAAGGCTAATTGTCTGTGTATTGGCGAGGTTGTGGGGAAGTCTCCCATAGCTGGTAGCGTTTATTTGGCTTTAGTCACAAACGGGAATTGTCCTAGATGCTTAAGCGAGTCCTGTTTAAATTGTAGATTAGTTGGGGTGGGGGGGAGGTTCAAGCTGGGCTCTTCATCGGCATGAAAGGTGACTCGAGAGCCGATAGAACGGCGTTTTGACTAAACTCTGCCAATCTGCTTGGGGCTAAAGTGGAGATCTCTTCAGTCTCGCCGTTCGTGTGCAACCGTTGCGTAGAGGTAATGTTTTCTTAGACAGGTGCATGTTGTGTAAAATACGCGTTTTCCTGGTATGTACTCAATCGCTACGAACGACTCTAAATTTAGACTTCAATTTCTTGGTTGTACTAAATCTACTTAATTTACTTCTGCATTAGTAGATTCGTGCACATCTGCTAAACTTTTGTTCAACTCTGCCTGATTTAAGTGCCGTGTACAGACGAATGTAGGATTTTTTTTTTTGGGCAATATCTCCTTTGTAGCAGCGTTAACAACCTAGTAATGCCTTTTTCTAGTTCTATAAACATTATGTTATAAATCGCCCGTCCTCGCGGAGTTCATCCGAGCTTTGGAAGCTTGCACAAGCCTCCTGCTAGGTGGTGCCTTGTCGGAGTACCTGGCGATGCCAGACTACTTGGTCCAGCGGTCAGGTTGCCAGACGGTGGAACATGGATTATTGCGTGTATCTGTAACTTTAACATTCATGACGTGGCCTTTGTTGGGGCCGTTGTGTATAACCAGGTGTACGTTACCGTTTGCTTTTGTTTTCAGCTTTTTCTAATGGCGCCCGTAGCCCTTGCCCTGCTGTTCGCAGTTGCGTTTGCCACTGGAGCAAGTGCCCAAGGTAGGAAGACCTTTCATTGCTTGCACGAAACCTGAAGTCTCAACTTCTATCGTTTTCTACTTGAGAAAAAAAATTATCTACAGCCCAAGGTTGCTCGTTCAAGCATTCCAGCTTGCTCTGAAATGTCTTGGCCACAGTAGTGAAATGTTAACTACTTCGCCTGATATGCAGGAAGTCGTGGGTTCAATCGCGACCCAGACACCTGTGTTTCCATGTCCTCCCCGTGGTCATGTGGATTTATTCTGGGTTTTCCCTCCGTATTTAGAATTTATGTACCTTTTTTAGTTTTATTGCTATACAATTCAACCACAGCAAGCCACTGGGTTGACCGATCCTTTGTGGCCAAGTTTCCTTTAAGCAGCATTCGCTTATCGGCCCTTTCCTAGTAGGTCTAGTCCCTGGGTGTAAGTTTGATATTCATGCATTTCCCTTTGTGCATGATGACGCATAATGCTTGCATGCGACGGCCTATGTCTATTACTACGCGTTTGTCAGACGGGACTGTCCAATAAAATAGTTCCCGTAGAGGTAGGATGTGCATGTTCTTGCAAGTGCGTATTAATGATCGTTTACGCCACGAGGACCTGCTGACGCCCAATGAGCGAGTGCTCAACTTTGGCGCACCAATTATCCCACTTTCATAAATCGATCGTGAGCAAATGGTTAAAAAACAAATCCGCTATATCCACCGATAAATAATGAATTTGCTACGTCAGCTAATCGACAGTCCAAACCCTATAACCTTTTCATGAACGACTACATCAGTCAAGTCGCGTCAGTAATGGGGCTTGTATTACACATTCCAGCCGGGTCCAACTCGACCCGGATTTTGCGCACAACCAGAACGGCGTCTCGCGTTAAGCAGCGCTCCTGATGGTTAACCAAATGAACTCTAAACAGTTTACGTTTCATTTACCCTTGGCACGAACGCTGTCTACAGACGCTTTGCCAGCGGCAATAAATTCAACCGCGGCCACCCAACCCCTCGCTGCGACCAATTCTTCGACTGCCGCGTCTACCATCACCACGTCCCTGCCAACCACCGCCTTGGTCTCGTCCTCCACCGCGGTATCCGCCATTACTGCCGGGGTCACGAAGGGTGACCAGACCGCGAGACCCGTGCTGGACACGCATCCAGCTTGTCTCCCTGGCGTGTGCCAGAACGGAGGTCTGTGTGGCGTGACTCCGCAAGGCTCTTACGTCTGCACCTGCTTCCATGGCTACACGGGACGCAACTGCTCAGGTGTCTGGTCACGGTCAACATCAGCGACTATTCCGAGCCTTCGGTCGACACTGCCTTAAATTGAGTGCCTGGTGTACGGTGTATAAGCATCGCCACTGGGGAGACGAAGGCGGCTGGGCCTGGTTTTAGCCACCCACCCCCTCGAGTGCCTTTCTGGCGCCTTATAGGTGTTAGCGAACAGCACTTGCCCTCAAAGTCTGCTACGGGCTGTACGGGGGGAGGAATGTCTTGTTTCCTTGGCCTAGTGGATGCTCTAACAGAATTTGCCACCAGCAATCCGTTAGTGCCACTGCGCTACGTAAGACCGTGGGTTCCTCCACTCGTGGTGGCTCTTAACCCGAAGCGCTACTTTGGCACGCCATGTCGATCCTCGTCTGTTCCATACTCTTTAAGCTAAACTCGTGTAAAAACCTGCTACGATTGTGGGGTGGGGGGGGGGGCTGATGCTTCCACTTGTCTTGCCGGGGGCTGCATTGAAAGCCACCAGTAATCTCGCAGGTCCCTGCAAATGAAGACTGCTCCTAAACCGTGTCCAATGTTTGCTTCTCCGTTTGGCCACCCAGAGGTGTCCCTCCGTGTGGACTGCGGGGCGAGCGAGGTGAGCGCGTCCCTGGAGAACGACTTTCTCGCGTGGCACAACATCACGGCCACCACCGTGGTGCTGGCGCGCCACTCCTCCCTGGACGCGGTGCCCAGCGAGGCTTGCCTGGCTCGCAAGAGCGTCTCCCAGGGCGTAAGCCACCTCCTCATGAAGCAGACGCACGGCCGTGAGGAATGCGGTGCCAAGATGATGGTATGTAGCCACTCCCTACCCTTTCCCCCACGTCCAGGGATTACCAAGCTGGCTACGAGATCCACGATTGTGGTTCAAAAATAATTAACTCAACTACTGTCTTTTTAAAAAGTACACTATAGCTGTACAAAGTGTCACGTAAGCAAAGCGTGGCTACTATCTCGGCACTTCGTGGATGTAAAAATGTAGCCAGGTTACACACCGTCACACCGATGTGGGTTTTTTTAAAGTAATGTCTAAACGGTGCTTTTTGTTCAATGACTAAAGGTACTGAAATTGATCTTTCAAAAATCATCGCATCCAATGAGGCTCATTTCTACTCTTCCGTGTTGCAGGTGAACGACACCCACGTGAACATCGCATACCAGGTAATAATCGGGAACCGCTCTGACGTGATCGAGAGGATCTACTTTGTGCTGGACTTCTCCTGCGTGTATCCCCTGGAGGAGCGCGTGGCTTCAGACGTCGCTGTCACGAGCGCCCTCTTGTGAGTCGCACGGAACTTACCAACTCACGTTCCCCGTGGGTGTCTCTCCTAACCGTGGGCTTGCGAAACGCGACAGCCTTGCCCTATGCACTACGATCGCCTGCAGTCTGCTGGACAATCCATCCGGAAAGTTGTGGCTTTCTTGGCCAGGTGCACTTCATGGCAGAGTCTGGCCGTCTGCCACTCGTTTGTCTTTTTGTGCATTGGTTTGTAAGAACTGCAGCCTCGATGCTGTTTTGGCAATTTTTCTACGTTGGTGCATCATGGACCATTTTTGTATAAAATTAATAAGCTATGAAATGCGACCGTTTATGGCCTTGCTAGTAAAGTTCACCATGTCAGCAGACACAATTTATGTAACAACCTGCATGCAACACCAAACCATTCTTGATCTTTCTCGACAGGACATTCATCATCCCCGAGATGGATGGTGTCCTGCGGGTCGCCATGGCGCTCTACAGGAGCGCCAACTTCTCGCAGGCAGACAGGTACGCCGTCTCGCCCAGGCTGAGCTCCTTCGATCGAATTTACGTGCGGGTCTTCCTGCACATGCACTCGAAGGACAAGGAGACTGACGCCAAGGGCGATTTCAACCTCCTGCTTGTGAACTGCTGGTGCACGCCGAGTGACAACGCGTCTGACCCCATCAACCACAAGCTCTTCAACGACGGGTGAGGTCCCCCCCCCCCCTCAGCTCGCGTCGGGGCCAGCTTTTGGTGATCCTTGTTCTTGGGTTAAGGGGGGGGGAGTGCAGCGTGCCAAATTTACATATTTCCTTTTGTTACACGATGTGGTTTGGCCTCTTGCCCGTCTGCTTTACAGCGCATGTGCTTAACCCACGCCTCTAGAGCTCCATAATAAAACGCCTAGGGTAATTTAGTCTACCCCATCATGCTGCCCAAACATCCCTTGTAAGATGGGCTCGCCTTTGCACCATAACCCTCGAGCTGCTGCTTAACTTTACCCACTTTCTACTGCTGCATGGACAGGCTCCCTGTTCCACTGGATCAACGCCTCTGACGTGATTACGCAGTTTCGGACAATTAACCCAAAAGCCATGTCCACCCACGTCCTAATAAACACTTTGGCTTAAAACCTGATACAATTATTGCGTAAAAAGGGCAGTTGATGGCTAATATTAGGATTCCCTTCTGTACTGCCATCCTGACCCACTCTGTTATAACAATTTGTACAAACCAGGCTAGACTGCTCGTTTAATGCAACCTATTGCATTATATTCTTGGCTCTTTCGGTAAAGTCATTATGTGCTTGGAGTCGGTAGCTGCAAATAAACTTGGCCCTTAAGCAAGGGGTTTTGGTGTGGTATCTACCATGCACACCTTGGCGACATTTCTAAAGACATTCACTTGGCCTCTGGTTTACATCGCGATTACCCCATCAATATTCTTCAAATATCTGCTAGACTTTCAACATATTATTGGTGCAACCACTATCGCCTTGCTATTCTATTTTGTCAAGCAGTTCAGGGATGCGTCTATTAGCATTTGCCTCCCTTGCAGTGTCAATGGACTTTGTCAATTACCTCTAATTTCACACTTGTGCCTTTTTTTTTAAATGTAACACTGGCTTGGCATTACACTGACCTGTAACTAAATATCTAAATCTGTTTGGCGAGGTAGATGTCCCTCGGACCAGACCGCCTACTTCCACAGCGTGAATGGCAATGACAGCCACGTGGACTTCAGCGTCCAGATGTTGAAGTTCATCGGCATCCAGTACCAGTTGGTCTACATCCACTGCTCTGTGCGTGTCTGCTTCAGCGTCAACAGCACTCAATGCGTCCCGGTGAGTCTGCAATCTGGCTTCATCACCCACAGATCTCTTGCTGAGCAATTGGGTTTAGTGGCGTTTGGATGCACTGGCGCCGACTGGTTTGATGTGCAAGATGAACGTAACGCTTGACTTTCCCGTAAACCTTTTTGGACTTTACACATGCACAGGTTACTGCCCCTTGACTAGAATGTCACTAGCTCCGAGGGTTGTGAGTTGCTACAGATTTGTATTGCCGAACCCCTATTGTGACCCAACCTCGCGTGCTCGTATTAACCACCCTAATCGAGTAGCTGGGTGCCGCTTACGGCTCTGCAGGGATGTCAAGGCGGCAGGGTGAAGAGGCACACGAGGAAGGCCGACACGTTCGAGGGGGTGCTGTCCATCGGGCCCATGAGGATCGTTGACGATGAGGTGGAGATCGAAGTCACCCAGTCCACCCACGGTGAGGTCTCTCGCTGCCACGTGGAATCTGTCCCAACGTTGCTCCGATTCCTTGGCAGTCCTTTTTTGCGACATTTTGGCCCACAACTCTCATGCTTGGCTCGCCCATTAACAGCTTTTGAGTACAGAGTATTAAATAACTTTATTCATCCTGACATGAAGCTCTTTCACAAATATCCAGTCGTCCGTGTGCTGCAGTGACTTGAAGATTTAACCAACATGGCACTTCCAAGGAATTTGTCTACTGATTTTGAAGTGTAATTGACTTACGAATTTGTACCCCCCCCCCCCCCTCCAGGCCTCTCCACGCCCATCCTCGTTCCGCTGCTGCTCGTTGCCGCCTTCGCCGGGGCCCTCATCTCGCTCGGCTGCTTCGTGGCAACGCGGAGAGGCACGCGGCAGTTGCGGGCGGCGGCGGACGACAACTTGGGAGGGCAACCACCCTCCTATGGGACTGCATGTGGCCCACCGGGCAACCTCCAGTTGCCTGACGCATCCGTGACTGGCGAGACTCTGCCCAAGACGAAGATTGTTGTTTCATGAAACGAGTACTCGCTCGCGTGCTTCCATGCACGTCGCCCTAGATGTGTTTTTGTGTAATCTTGTGCTCCTTTTTGTGGCACCCTAGTGTGGCTTTGACTGGAATGAAAACTACTGATGAATTGATGTCTCTTTAAAAGAAAAAAATAAACTTGCAAGAAAAACATCTTTAGTATTTCCCTTTTTCGTATTGAAGCTTGCGTATTGCACTGCAATGTTTTTTTATCAGCTGAGCCTAGTACAGCTCAAATATGTTAACAGCCAGAGGTGATGCGCATCGAGTAAAATGTTTCTAAGCCACCAATTGGTGTTTAAGTATTCTCAACTCTAGCTAAACTTAATCTGCAGTACTAATTGGTGTGGGCATTTTCGAGCCCTAAGCTCCAACATGGAAATGCACAGGCCACTGAAAATGCAGACTGACTGACACAAGCTATAACACGTAGGCTTTCGCGACCAATATTATTCATAATAAAGGTTTTTGGGTTAGATCGCGTTTATTTATAAATGTGTCGTAACCCTCCACCACCCGACACGGCCAATCAGCAAAAAAAGTGTCACGTTGACAAAAGACAAATAATTCACCACTTCAGCCCACCGGTGTGAAGAGTTAATCCACATTTACAGTTTGAGTACGACGTTTCGCTGGTAAATACTTCCAGCATCATCGGGCAATTCGCCAGAATGGTAAAGCCCTCGCTTGCTCCCGGTTTTATATAGAGCAGCACGGTGATGTCATCACTTAACTCATCAGGTGCAGTGATTAGAGGCGGAGGGGGGGGGTAATGTAATTATATAATCGATTAGTAATCAGTCATTGGTTATGATTAGTAATGAGTTGTAGATTAGTAATTCTTTAAATCAAAATGTAATGTGTATTATTTAATAATACGCTTCCAGGCCGCACTAAGCCGGTAGCTGTCAGAGCGATTAAAGTTATTCTTGTTCCTCTCAATTTCAATGGATTCTCTAATTAGTCTTTGCCAGTAATAATTAGTTTTACACACCACTGCAACATTGTCAAAATCAATTGAGTGTCCTTGTTGACAAGCATGTTCTGCCACTGCCGACAGTTGTGTTTGAGATAATTTAATATTTCTCTGATGTTCTTTTAGTCTTACGCTGATGTTACGTCCCGTCTGCCCAATGTAGCAGCTGCCACATGAACAATTAATCCGATATACACCTTCTGTTGATAGTTTAGGTAATGCGTCTTTAGTGCAAGATACTAGTTTTTGAATTTTGTGTACTGTACCAAATCTTACTGTAATGTTTTGCTTTTGCAGAACGCGGGCTAATTTGTCAGTTACTCCTGAGATATATGGAATTTTTATTGTTTTAACAATCTGGTCGCTTTCAGTAGTATTGCTTTGCGATCGTGATTTGGCATTCAGTGCTCTGTTAATTTGAGCATTATTGTAGCCATTCTGTCGTAGTGCGTCTTTAACGTGTTTAATCTCTCTCACTAGACTCTCACCATCTGACACCGTTTTCGGGCGAAACGGTGTCAGATGGTGAGAGTCTAGTGAGAGAGATTAAACACGTTAAAGACGCACTACGACAGAATGGCTACAATAATGCTCAAATTAACAGAGCACTGAATGCCAAATCACGATCGCAAAGCAATACTACTGAAAGCGACCAGATTGTTAAAACAATAAAAATTCCATATATCTCAGGAGTAACTGACAAATTAGCCCGCGTTCTGCAAAAGCAAAACATTACAGTAAGATTTGGTACAGTACACAAAATTCAAAAACTAGTATCTTGCACTAAAGACGCATTACCTAAACTATCAACAGAAGGTGTATATCGGATTAATTGTTCATGTGGCAGCTGCTACATTGGGCAGACGGGACGTAACATCAGCGTAAGACTAAAAGAACATCAGAGAAATATTAAATTATCTCAAACACAACTGTCGGCAGTGGCAGAACATGCTTGTCAACAAGGACACTCAATTGATTTTGACAATGTTGCAGTGGTGTGTAAAACTAATTATTACTGGCAAAGACTAATTAGAGAATCCATTGAAATTGAGAGGAACAAGAATAACTTTAATCGCTCTGACAGCTACCGGCTTAGTGCGGCCTGGAAGCGTATTATTAAATAATACACATTACATTTTGATTTAAAGAATTACTAATCTACAACTCATTACTAATCATAACCAATGACTGATTACTAATCGATTATATAATTACATTACCCCCCCCTCCGCCTCTAATCACTGCACCTGATGAGTTAAGTGATGACATCACCGTGCTGCTCTATATAAAACCGGGAGCAAGCGAGGGCTTTACCATTCTGGCGAATTGCCCGATGATGCTGGAAGTATTTACCAGCGAAACGTCGTACTCAAACTGTAAATGTGGATTAACTCTTCAACACACCGGTGGGCTGAAGTGGTGAATTATTTGTCTTTTGTCAACGTGACACTTTTTTTGCTGATTGGCCGTGTCGGGTGGTGGAGGGTTACGACACATTTATAAATAAACGCGATCTAACCCAAAAACCTTTATTATGTGACACAAGCTATGTTACTACGCTCCGCTGGAGACGCGCGCACAACACCGCCCAGAACGCCGAACTTTGAGTCCAACCTGCGAAACGCCACGAGAGTGCAGCACTGCCCCGTGCAGGTGGAGTCCAACCTGTGACGCCGCCTCTCGCGCGCCTGCGTCTCGCGTTTCACTACGCCCAGGGCAAGGGCAGTTGTACGGATGGAGACGGGACCGCGGTGTTCCTGGTGTGACAGGTTCTTCTACAGCCAGGGGCTAAGGAGGGGGACCACGAGGTGTAATGGCAAAGGGTTTTTTTTTTTTTGCAATGGAGAAGACTGCTAAAGCGGAGTCGACTAGGCGAAGCTAATGTTAGCTCAGACACTTGAGCAGCCAGTCGCCAATGGGTTGCTGCCCGGTGACAGTGTTTTAGACAACGCCGAATGTCTTGTGCAGCTGTGGTCAAAGCATAGCCGTCGCACGACTGAGGGGGGGGGGGCACCTGTTGCCCAAATCTGGTTGTTTCTCCCATCGGTAGGTAACCTGGGATGGGAGCTTCCCATCGAGTTGGATGCGGGTCCCACGATCGACTGGCGTTGCGTGCTCTAAGCCAATCCGTTCTTCGAACGTGGCTTTGCAACAAGCCTGTTAGCATTGTTGGCTGTCGTTCCTCACCGACTGCAATAACCACTGCCCTTTCTGTTGGATGTGTCAACGTAATCTGCTGTACGTGATTTGATCTTGTTGGTCGAAGGTGGGGAGTTTAGAAATGAGCGATGGTTTTTGTGGTGCAATGGATTGTTGCGCTGCCCATCGCCTAACCCCGCAGCAGCCTATAACACCTGTTGTGTTAATGTGTCGCCCATCCAAGCAATGGCCAGGCTCCATTGTGTTACCTGACCTAGATTGGGTGCATTCTTGGAAAATTGGTGCTCTGCACCCCGAGTGCATTGTGGCTTCAACCTCCCCCCCCCCCCCACCTATGCTCCCTACAAGGCTCTCCCCACACCCGTTTACTTTATGTTCGCACGGCGGCTGATGTACATTGAGAGACCAAACAAACGCAATTTGAATTGCCGAACGAACACGGGTGAAATGACGTGGTGCGCTCAAACTATTGAACGACAAAGTGGGCTTTGGTGTGGGACACGCCCACTCGAATTGCGATTGTGGTCGATACCAACGTCGGTGGCAGCCAAGGAATGGAATCTCTCTCGCTCATCCAACCGCTTTCCAGGCGCGATATCCGCCAAGATCATAGACAAGTTTGGGGGTGAGTTTGGTCTCGTGGCGTGTGCAGTGTTGCCCAACGAGGAATGACCCGGTGAGGCGTAACGCCACTGCCCAGTTGTGTTACCCCCCCCCACCCTCTTCCGGCATTGTTTTTTTTTGCTACAGCTAAGGGTGTTTGCGTGTGGTCGTTTGTAACAATGATTGGTTGTCACGGTGAGCTGTATTTGGCGTGCAACTTTGTTGTTTTAATACTAAGCAAACAAGACCGGATGGGGTTTGTCCTCGTCGTGATGACATTGGCACATGCACAATCCTAGGCAGGTTTGTGGCTGGCTGGCATCGCCTTGCCGGGTGACGGGTCGCGTGGTTCGACAGGTGTCATGGGCCACGTTGAGGGAAGCCGAGGGCAGTGCAGCAAGATTAACGCGCTGCACTATGCTGCCCCACTTTCACCAGCCCACGCTGACCAGCGTGGTGAAGTTTGTTCAAATGTATCCACCCCCACAACTCGCCACGCAATACAGGGAAGTCATCTTCCAACAGCGGCGGTGGCATGCACTTTACAATGAACACAAAGGAAACGTCGGTGTAACGTTGTTAAACGTACTCATTGGTTCTTTCGGTAAAGTCACGTTGGTAGAAAAATAAAATAAGTAATATATCACGCCCTTTCGATCGCAACACAAGGGGTTGTCCTCAGGCGGAAAAAATAATCCAGCAGTCATAAATAACCTCTTATTGTTACAGCTCTCTCGCTGGTTCAGCAGTTCCTCTGCTGGATTTGTTTTATGCCTGAGGACGACCGCTTGTGTTGCGATCGAAACGTCGTGATTTATTATTATTTTATTATTATTTTCTACCTACGTAACTTTACCGAAAGATCCGAAGAGTATGGATTCTTGCAGTCGCGAAAGCTTCAAATCAAGGTTGTTAAACGTCTCGCACGCACAATAGGTATTTGGAAGATGACCAACTTTCCGCACGCGATTTGGACACGTGACCCTCCGTCACTCCCTGCAGTGCTGGCAGCCGTCCAGGCAGCAAAACTTTCGAAATAATGTCTGATGACATTTTTTCATATTTAGTTGACATGGATACGTGAAGGACGAATTGTCCGCTTATGAATGTTGTTATTTACGTCCTCCAACAACGACCCTTGCAGTTATTTAAGACACTTGCGCCGTTCTTTCCAACTGCCGGCGGATCGAATCCTATCGACTACCTCTGGAATAAATGTCCAACTGCGATACATCACACCGCCTGCCAACACGGTACAGTCATAATAGCGCGTGTATCACGTCTGTATGTACCTATGTTAAACTTCTTTCGCACCGTATGTAGCTAACTGTGCTAATCGGAGATGCGGGGTGGGGAGAACAGCAAACACACCCAAAAAGGCCGTAATTTTATCTAGAGTCCACCTGAATCATGGATTGGGGGAATCGACGCGTTTACAGTCGGTTCCTGTGCCGCATCGCGAGCTCCACCTGTCCCTGCAGGTACACGCGTCACAAGCTCCACCTGTCCCTACAGGTACACGTGTCACAAGTTCCACCTGTCCCTGCAGGTACACGCGTCACAAGCTCCACCTGTCCCTACAGGTACACGTGTCACAAGTTCCACCTGTCCCTACAGGTACACACGTCACAAGTTCCACTTGTCCCTGCAGGTACACGCGTCACAAGCTCCACCTGTCCCTACAGGTACACGTGTCACAAGCTCCACCTGTCCCTACAGGTAAACGTGTCACAAGCTCCACCTGTCCCTGCAGGTACACGTGTCACAAGCTCCACCTGTCCCTACAGGTACACGTGTCACAAGCTCCACCTGTCCCTACAGGTACACGCGTCGCGAGCTCCACCTGTCCCTACAGGTACACGTGTCGCGAGCTCCACCTGTCCCTACAGGTACACGTGTCACAAGCTCCACCTGTCCCTACAGGTACACGTGTCACAAGCTCCACCTGTCCCTGCAGGTACACGTGTCACAAGCTCCACCTGTCCCTACAGGTACACGTGTCACAAGCTCCACCTGTCCCTACAGGTACACGCGTCGCGAGCTCCACCTGTCCCTACAGGTACACGCGTCGCGAGCTGCACCTGTCCCTACAGGTACACGCGTCGGGAGATTCGCTGAGCACGTGACTCGAGTTGTCATCGGGCTGGGTTCGGGGTTCGGCACGCGCCCCGCCGTGAGTGACTCCGTCTTGGGCAATGGCTCCTTTGGCGTCACGCTCTATTTTTGCAATGAGCATTCTGTGCGGAGACGATGGTAATCCGTTCACATTGGATGCCGTATCGATGACGCTGTAAACATCAGGTGATGTTCAGGTGGGCTGTTGAGGGGCGTCGCGGTGGCGAGGAGATGTTAACTCCCTCGCTTGGTACGCAGGAGGTCCTGTGTTCGGATCCCGATCCTAACCCAGACGCCCACTGTATATTTGGAGTTTACGTGTCTGTCTCCCCGTGACCGCGTGGATATTTCTCCGGGTCCTCCGGTTTTTCTCCCGACGCGTGTACCTTTGTTTAGAGTGTGTGGCTACTATACATTTCCATGTGACAAGCCACTTCGTTGAGTTATCATTCATGCCCGCTTCTGAAAACGAGCTATATTTCTCTGTGGGCCTTACCTGGTAAAAAAAAAACTTCACTCTATTACCGCCTTTTTGATGATCCACTGCTGAATGTGGGCAATGGTTGTTTGACGAAACTTCACCAATCTGGTCAGTAAGGGCCGGGCGAGGAGGCATGCGCGGTTCTGATATAACCGGCCATCAATGTTAGCCGTGGCCTGGGATTGAACTCAGCTCGTCGGGTTCATGGCGCACCGCTCCCCCTGGGGTATTGATGTTACGGATTGCTTTCAGGATGTATGCAAATGTAGTCAACGTTTCTTTTTTCGGGTTTCAGCAGAAACAAACCTCATTGAAGTATAGAACCGAACTTCGAGTATCATTGGGCGAGCGGTGGCGCAGTGATTAGCACACCGCGCTATGGGCATTTCTAAGATGCCCGTGGCGTCGTTCGCAAGAGAGCCGGCTACAGCGTCACCGTTCACACGTGAAAAATTACTCGAAAATCACTCAGTTGGGTTTGACGTGTGGCAATCATCGTCCGCCGACGGCGAACAATAAAGCAGAGGTGCCGCCGGGAAAAGAGTGAGATGCAGCGAGGCTTTGCTGGTTAAATACGCGTTAGACAGTTCTGACCATCGTGGTGAAGTATGGTTAAACTACCTCCCATGGCTGACATGGTGTGTGTGTGTAGGTCTTCATTTTCACGTACAGACCCATCATAGACTCACGTAGGGGACCCATCATAGACTCACATAGAGACCCATCATAGACTCACAAAGAAACCCATCATAGATTCACATAGAGATTAATCATAGAATCACATAGAGACTCATCATAGACTCACATTGAGACTCATCATAAACTCACATAGAGACTCATCATAGACTCACATAGAGACTCATCATAGACTCACATAGAGACCCATCATAGCCTCACGTAGAGACCCATCATAGACTCACATAGAGACCCATCATAGACTCACATAGAGACTCATCATAGACTCACATAGAGACCCATCATAGACCCACGTAGAGCCTCATCATAGACTCACATAGAGACTCATCATAGACTCACGCAGAGACTCATCATAGACTCACATAGAGGCTTATCATAGACTCACATAGAAACTCATCATAGACTCACATAGAGACCCATCATAGACTCACATAGAGACCCATCATAAACTCACATAGAGACCCATAATAGACTCACATAGAGACCCATTATAGACTCACATAGAGACTCATCATAGACTCACATAGAGGCCCATCATAGACTCACATAGAGACCCATCATAGACTCACATAGAGACTCATCATAGACTCACATAGAGACCCATCATACACTCTCATAGAGACCCATCATAGACTCACATAGAGACTCATCATAGACTCACATAGAGACTCATCATAGACTCACATATAGACTCATCATACACTTACATAGAGATTCATCATAGACTCACATAGAGACTCATCATACACTTACATAGAGACTCATCATAGACTCACATAGAGACTCATCATAGACTCACATAGAGACTCATCATAAACTCACATAGAGACCCATCATAGACTCACATACAGACTCATCATAGACTCACATAGAGACTCATCATAGACTCACATATCGAGGGAGACTCGTAGGCTACGTCTGCGCGTGGTTATGGTGGCAATGTGTTCAGGAGTTCTCACAGCTGTCGACCCTAAAACAGTTCCAAACCTTATTACAGACCAATTCAGACCTTATTGGCCTCCCCGTGCCCCTTATAATTCTCAACGTTCATCCTACAAAGTCCCATCACAAGAGAGAAACACAAACAAATAGACATGTTTTTGTTACTCAATTTCCCTATACAAGAATACGGGGTAAATCGTACGGCTTGACCGGTGTAAGTTCTACATCCCAACGAGGAGGTCTGCTGGCCACGAGATCGCTTCCCGAGAGTAGAGTTCGTGTCGTTTTGATATTGCTCTGTTGAACCGGTTTACTGTGTGGTCCATATTGAATGGCATCACAGTTCTGGGGATGTGTGCATGTACGCGTGTTCAACTTCTTTGGCCAACCGTGATAGTCGGAAGTCATTGTGCCAGTCCACTGCGGGTTGGGAAACAAGGAAGACGGGGGGGGGGGCGGGGGGAGAGTTACGCAAAGACTGGTTCAGACATCACGTGCCACTGATGTAAGCCGTGGCCGGCAGGTGAAGTCTCGTAATGATGCTGCCGGGGTCCAAGCTCAGTGCGCTGATGACGCGATAAGCGAGCAGCACCGCCTCATTGGGTTCACCGTGTGGCAATGCGCCCCTTAGCAATGCTATTCGCATTGCCGAGCAGACGACCCAGCTGGCTGCGTGGGGTGTGGAAGTCGCGGCGTTATGAATGAGAGCTGACGTCAGGAGTTGCCAACCCAATCCGCTCTGTGTGCGTCTGTGGAAACCCGCGGAGCGCGTGCCTATAAATGGGAATGCGTCACACGGTGCTCCGGTCAGTGTGGGTTACACGAAGTGAGCGAGCGAGTTACCGGCAGACAACCCCATCGGACAACTTTGATACAACAGCAAAAATAAATTTTAAAGAAATATATTACATTAATATATTTACTTAAAAAAAATATATAGAACCTAACGCCTACCGCATGAGCGTTGGACACTTGTACAAAAATACCCAATTGTATTTTTGTCTACTGTGTGCAGCCAGCCACAGCGAGGAAGCAAGCAAGCAAGCAACAGCAGTCACACGTTGTAGACAATTGCCAATTGTGTACTTGTTAAAAGAAAGCCAAGCGGAGCCATGCAAATCGAACAAGGGCAGCAGCAGGGTGCCCGCGCAGAAGACTACGGGCAGCAGCAGCAGCAGCTCATCGGAGGGGAGTTCGCCTCGCCTGCCTGCAAGCGATTCACGTTGGCCGAGTTGGAGGCGCACAGCTCGGAGGAGTCGTGCTGGGTCGTCCACGCGGGCCGCGTGTTCGACGTCACTCGCTTCGTGCGCATTCACCCCGGCGGCGAGGCCGTGATCGTGACGCGCGGAGGCACCGACCTGGGTCGCCTGCTGTCGGGTCCTCCTCACCGCCACAGCAGCAACGCTTACAGGTGGCTGGAGCAGTATTGCATCGGGGAGCTGGACACGCGGCTGGGAGAGGAGCTGGATGGAGGTTCACAGCAGCAGGAGGAGCAGCAACGGCAGCGGGCAGATGCGTCGGTGGTGACGCCGCCCGGGTCAGAGTGTGCCGAGGTGGGTTTGCGGCGCATCGAACAAATCACTAACACTTCTGTTTGCGCGTACGTGTGTTGTTGAACTCCTTCGCACCGTAAGTAGCCAACCGTGCTAATCGGAGGTGCGGGGGAACACACAGCAAACTAACACACAAAGGGCACTTCGAAAGAAATACGTTTTCAATCTAGACGATTTAAAAGTGCAACGCTCCGGTGGCTTCCTAATATCGGACGAAAGAGCGTTCCAGAAGGGCCGCTAGAAGCGCCTCTGCGGTGACCGCCCTCGTTCGATGGCCAGCAGCCAAACGCCGCTGCTGCGAGGATGACGGGAAAACGTCTCTTTGGGAAGCGAAGTGACAGCGATGTGAAGGAGGAGGCGTATTGTCAGCCGCATTCATTAAGCCACAAGTGAATTCACGAGTCCCCGCGTTGTAACTCGGAGCGTCATTTGCTCACTCGATACTTTTCCGGAAAGCTGCTATAGTCGGGCTGGACTGTCTCGGCTGGGCTCGCGGTGGTGATCCTCGGCGAAAGGCAACGGCTCGCTGCCAGACGCCAAGCTTGCCGCTCTATCGTTGTGCTTCATTTGCCTCCGATCCCGTGAACAGGTTAAGTACTAAATGAGGCGAGACGGGGTGTGGGGGGCGACTAAAAATAATGTGTCGGAGCAGGCGCGCGGTTCGGGGCTGTTCGGGCTGTGGGCAGCGGTGTGTAAGGCGTCGTGCAAGATTTGAGCGCTTGGCAAGTTGATTAATTTCCACGATTCGGCGTGGCTAGCCACTGTATTCCATTCAACGGCATCCAGTGGCTGGAGAGTAAACTAAAGACGTCTATGCTTGGAACCTAAATTTAGCTAATGGCTAAATTTGAGTTTTAAAATGTATATCACACTCCAACATCGCTGTTGGAGTTAAAACATGCATTTGAAACTCAAACAGCGGCGTTTTAATGCCATGAAATACAGAAACACGGTATATTGAGGCAAATCATTATTTGTTTGATTATTTTGGTGTATTTTTTTTTATTTAAATGTCTCCATATAGTCAATGAGATTATGAATCTCACTAGGCACTAACGGAATTAAAGCCACCTTCATTTAACCGTCTCCTACAGTTTTGCAGTGCCATGCAATATGCTTGTTGGATGGCTGGAGCGCTTAAAAAAACACACACCACGTTCACCATTAACACTCATCAACCATTTAGCAGCCCCTGAAATTCATCTTAATTATTGACGCTTCCGTAACATTTAATGGGGGGGGGGGCGATTTACCCGCTACGAAGTTAATCAGAGCCCGTGAACAATTGACGCGGAATGTTAAACAAACGATGAGCAGGTGCTCAAACACGAGTGAAGAAGAGGCGCGTGCTTGGTTATTACGCCGAGGGGACGCAGCAAGACGGACACGTGCATCAGAGAACACGCGCGCGCGCACACACGCGACCTAGGGGAGGCCCAGAACCGGTTCAGATAATCGTCACTGGTGTTGGCCGTGAGCGGGAATCGAACACGGGTTGCCAGGTTCAGAGCGGAGCGCGCTAACCGCCACACTAACGCTCCCCACACACACGACAACGTGCACACACACACACAACACGAGAAGACACACACACACAACAACAACCGCCATTCGCCACTAAGTGGCGGTGACGTCACCACGACGCTTGTGCCAGGCCATGTGCACCTTGAGGCCACGTGAAGTGTCGAACGCCCGCGGGCAGGAGGTCACGGGGCAGAACCAGATGCCACGGGTCGACTGAATGAGATGACTGAGATGACTGGCTGATGCACCACCTGTGCCCCCTACTGTGCCAACCTGCTGTGCTTGAGCCACCCGGCGCTCCGCTCGTTGTTGTGAGCGTCGCTCCTCCGCCCTCCGTTGTTGTTGGAGGGCGACTACCTCCAACTGCCTAGTAGCGTCCTTCACGTGCCTCCTCCACAGAGGCCGATCTTGATACCGCTGGTACCAGTCATCGGCAAGTCCACTCAGCTCCAGGTCCTCTTGTACCACATCACTCCATCTCTTCTCTAGCCCATGCTGCGCCCGTTTAGCCCCCTCGATCCGGCCGAACAAAAGCTGTTTCGGCATGCGGTGGCTGGGCATGTGGGCTACATGACCCAGCCAACGCAGCCTTGCCTGCCGGAGGCGCTCACCGATGGGACCTTGCCCAGATCTTTCAAAGATTTGTGAGCTCCTCACACAATCCAGCCTGGCTAAACCCAGGATGGATCGTAGGCAGGCCAGCCTAAATGTTTCTAACTGGCGAAGATGTTCCATTAGGGGGGGTCCACGTTTTGCAAGCATAGAGAAGGGAGGGAATGACCGTGGCCGAGAAGACCTGAAGCTTAGTGCGGAGCGACAGACCAGGTAGCTTCCACACAGCATTACGCAACCGATGAAAAGATATTGCCGCTCGATTGATTCGGAGTGAGACCTCTGCTGTTAAACTGGAGCCGGTCATAAGCACACTGCCCAGGTATGGGAAACTCTCCACTCTCTCCACAACTGCCCCATCACCGATTGGGAGTTGTGGGGGTGGAGTGTCCGATGCTACAAAATACCCAGGCAGGTGCTTAGTTTTGGTGGGGCTGATGGTAAGGCCCCATCTCTTAGTGGCACGCTCCAGTCTCAGCAGCAACGTCTCCAACTCCTCCTCTGAATGAGCAGCTATTACCACATCATTGGCATACATAACGTGGTTGAGCAATAGGGAGCCATCCCTTGACCGCACCCGGGCATCGATCAGCCTCCCATTATATCTGTACCATATGGAGATTCCCCCGGTACAGCTATTGAAGGCTTCACGAACTACGTGGTCAAAATAGATGTTAAATAATGTGGGAGCCAGAGGACATCCCTGTCGCACCCCAAGGTGTACAGGGAATCGCTCGGACTCCCCGCCACGTAGTTTTACCCGGGCCCGCTCACCATCATGAAGGTCCTTAATGATCGTGAGTAGAGGGTCAGGTACTCCAAAAGCACGAAGAACAACCCAGAGCCCAGGCCTTCTGATGGTATCATAGGCCTTGACCAGGTCAATAAAGCAGAGATGTAGGTCTTGCTGGAATTCCCTACACCTCTGCTGTAGCAGACGGACAGAAAATATGGCATCTGTGCAGGACCGCCCTTTCCTGAAACCGCATTGGGGCTCCACAAGCCTCTCCTCAGCGTGCCTGGCAAGGCGATGTTGAATAATCCTTGCCAGGACCTTTCCCGGCACACTGAGGAGTGAGATGCCCCTGTAGTTGTTACAGTCTGTGCGGTCCCCCTTCTTAAAGAGGGTGACCACCAGGGCATCCTTCCAATCCTGCGGAACCCATCCAGTGGTCCAGACTGTTGTTATGATGTCATATAGGGCAGTCTGTGCACAAACGCCACCCTCCCTCAGCATTTCGCTTGGGAGACCATCTCTGCCCGCTGCCTTTCCTGGTCTTAGACTCCGGATCGCCTTCAGCACTTCCTCAACAGATGGCACTTCAGCCAGCCACTCACATGGGGTGACTTCTTCCAATATTTGAGGCACCGCAGCCTCAGCAGGGTCATCCTCACTTTGTCCCACGATGTTTTCCTGGCTGAGGGATTTTCCGTCCCCCATGACCTCACAGAAATGCTCAGCAAATCTGCAAACCTGTTCCTGGGGGTCGGAAATTGGATCACCGTTTTTTCCCCTAATGATGGTAATAGGTGTGGCGCTGCAGGTTACTTTTTTGATAGAGTTAAATAGAGATTTGTGATCGCGGGCCACTGAGGCAGACTCCATCTCCTCAGCAACCCGCGACCACCACCCATCCTTGCAGCGCCTCACGGCTCTCCAAACCTCCGAGCGAAGGCTGTGGTAAGCCTCCTCATTCTCTGACGTGGGATTCTGTAGCCGATGACAGTGGGCCTGTCGCTTTTTCTCAACCATCCTCAACACCTCCTCTGTCAGCCAGGGTCTCTGGGGAGGTCTGGACCGCGTACCCAAAGCAGCCATTGCAGCTGCATGAGTCACAGTCCTAAACCTCGCCCATTTACCCTCGACATCAGGAGGAGTTGGGGACGATGCCAATCCCAGCCACAGGAGATGATGGAATTCTCGCTTGCAACTTTCATCAGATAACTAAGACCAGGCCACTTTAGGTTGGAATGGGGTCCTGGGTGTACACCCACCACCGGAGCGGGAGAATGGCAGGCGCATCTTACAGATGACTAGTCGATGGTCAGAGGGCAGATCAGCTCCACGGTAGGTCCTGGTGTTAAGGACATGGGCTCGCATCCGCTGGTCCGTCACTATGTAGTCCAGCAGATGTTCTTGCTTGCACCCGGCATGCATCCATGATGTTGTGTGGATGTGCCGATGCCGGAACAGCGTGTTGGTAATTACAAACCCATGGGGTGCACACAAATCTAGCAGCCTCCTACCGTTGTTATTAAGCTGATCTGGCCCATGCCCTCCAATCACTCCAGAACAGGTGCCAGCATCATGACCAACTCGGGCATTGAAGTCACCCAACAAGATGACTCTATCCCGAGGGGCCACTTTAGCCAGCGCCTGTGACAGGTCATAGAAGGCATCTGACTCATCGGCTTTGCCTGCACCCCTCCACGGATGTTCGTCTTTGGTGGGGGCATAAGTAACCACGACGACCACTCCTCGCCTCCGGTTGATGGGAAGGCGAGCCCAAAGTAGCCTGGGGTTTACAGCTTTCCACACCTTACCGCCACGCTCCCACGCCCCCTTCATTATTTTGTTCAAAAGAAGAGCCACACCCTGTTGTTTGGCAGTCTGCTGCCCCGAGTAGAGGACTGTCCACCCCTCATGGTGGCAGGAGCCACACACACGCACGCACACACGCACGCACGCGCACACGCACACACCCGCACGCACATACATACACGTACACACACGCACGCACGGTTCGGGAGGTTTCCATTGTCGGGGGAGATCAACGTGACGTGGGTAAGACGTTGATGTCGCAAGTTGTGTCGCGGTAAGCGCGCCGCGCTACGAGACTCCCACGAGTTCAAGTCCCCGCTCA